TTTTTTTTTTTTTTTTTTTTTTTTTTTTTGTTGCACACATTTTGGCTAGCTTATCCTCGTTTTACCTTACCCATTAATAAAAAAAAAAAAAAAAATGACAGCTACTTTTATTTGTCCACTTTGCTATCTTACCCTTTTTTCGTTTCGTGAGGATATGGCAGTCGATGTTTTTTATCCCATTTTTTGAATACTCCCAAGTAGAGTAGCTTTTGTAAACAAACCATTTGATAAGTCTTAAAAGGAAATAAAAATTAACAGGGCCGCTATGCGGCCTCTATTTCGACCGTATGATCGGGACAATAAGTAAAAAAACGAAATGGGAAGTGGGCGTAATCGCTTTATATATCCCTTGCGATTTTTCCATTTTGTGGGTCTCCCCTTCGTCCTCCCACTGGGGTAGCTACAAAACAGATTGGAACATTCTTGTAATTGTACACTGATGGAAGGGCACTGCACATGCGAATGATGTGTGTGGCGTATGTTATGCTGTACCTTTGTGTGCGTACCCACTTGCGCAGTGACAAACAACTAATCTGTCCTAAACGAATATCCCCTGTGAATACAAATTGTGTGTGTGCCCTTGTTTTGAGTGCACCTGTCCCCACGGCATATACACGTATTATTTTTATTTTTTTTGCACGATGAGCATACATGCAGGGAAAGAGGTTTTCCTTAAAAAAAGGCTTTTCATTCAGCCAACATTCATTCAATAGACATGTTTTGTTTGTGAGAAAAAGCGGTCAAATAGGAGGTTATTTTGCTTTGTTCTATTTTTTCAACTGTCCAACTGGCATTCTCCAAAATGAGCACTATTCTATATGGTATCCTTTTTTTTTTTTTTTTTTTTTTTTTTCCTCACCAACATGCATAAAAAAAACACACTTAGTAACTTTGCTGCGTACAAGTTGGACCTCGTGTGAGCGTCCCGTGGAAATGAGGAATGATGCAACATATGCATGGGGCACACACGAATTCGCGAAATAGAATATGTATAGGGTCTCATTGCTGAAAGGAAGTCCCCCCCTTTTTTTTTTTTTTTTTTTAACATTTTTATTAAGCATGTATAGCGTATCATATGAAAACCACACGCTTGAGTGTTGTGTAGTTTGTTCTTTATGTGCAAGTTCGTCCTACACAGCGCAAATTTTTTTTGTGAAATTATGTTGAGGGCATACATACAGGACATGTGCTCGGTCGTATGTAGGTATGTATAGATTGGTACATAAGCATGTGCAAAAAAAAAAAAAAAAAAAAAAAAAAAAAAAAAAAAAAAAAAAAAAAAAAAAAAAAAAAAAAAAAAAAAAAAAAAAAAAAAAAAAAAAAATTCCCAATTTTGTTCTTTCACTATACTTTTCTGCAATACGAGTAGGTTAATAGCATTAGCAAACCTGTCTCACTTGCGCTTTTACATTTGTGTGTCTTGAAAAACAATTTTGAAAAAAAAAAGCGGCAATGAGGAGAAGGGGCAAGAATGCCAAAAAGGGGGACCCCAAAATTGCTTCGCTTGGCACTGCTCACGCCGACAACCCACGTGCCAATATTCCCGGAGTCAACTTCACCCGCATAAAGAGCTCCTACTTGGAAGGGGCGCTAAAACTAACAAACGCAGAAAGCGTGAAACAAAAATTAAAGCGCAAAAATGATGAACTGAAGGGAATGGTCAGAGGGGGGGACATGCCCGTGGTGCCCTGTCTGGACAGGGTACTGTCAGTACAAACCATCCCAAGCGACCATGATGGAAGGGGACAGGACACTACGGAGTTGAAACATTTTGAGGAATTCGAAATTGTTCTAAGGGGAGTAATGAAAGACCAGGAGGGGTTGGTTAGCAGAGAAGCTGAAGGACAAATATCCTCCTCTGTGGTGGAAAACTCAGCACTATCGAATGAAGTACCGTTCATATGCGATAAGGTGACAAGCGAGAAGGACAACGAAGAGGGAGAACAAATAGGGGAAAGCCAAGTGGGCGAAAAAATAAAGGAAGACGAAATGGGCAAACAAATAGATGAAGACGATAAAGGGAACGTGTCCAACCTTTTTAACAAAACGAAGGAGGCATACAAATCGTTGAACCTCGACAAGCTGTTTCTGGTGAACAGTTTTAATAACTCTTTCCTGGATGAAGTCGTGGACAAGAGGAAGGAAAGCGAGGTGTGCGAACATGAACGCAGCAGAAAGGAGAACAAACTTAGCTTAGTGAAGACTATCGAAAGGAAGTTGAAAGGCCAAAATTCCTTCGTCATGGAAAATATATATAACGCCTTTAGAGGCACCATAAACGATTTTATAGACGTGTACCTTCAGGGGGAGCAAGAAGATGATGAAGAAGTAGAAGAGATGAGCGAAGGAAGAAGCAACAGGACTGTGGTGAGGAAGGATACGACCAGTCGCAGCGTCGATCCTTTTCGACATGGAGACAGAGTTAACCTGAGGGATGAACATGATTTGAAAAAAATGTATCACATGGACAGTGATATCTTCCTTTCTGGGGGAGAAAAAGACAAAATTAAAGTTGGTCAAAGTGGGTATGCGACGAAAAGGGAAGAGGACACAAATATAAAAAACTACTTGAGCCAGTTTGGGGGAACAAAATCGGGTGAGAACAGCAATTCGCATGACGGCACCAAGTGTTGCAAAATCAAAATGGGTGGGGGAAACCTATTTGGGGAAAGGAATGTGGTGGCGAGCGCTATGGCCTATCTCATGGGGGACACATTCAAACAGAAGAGCAATGCTCTACACACAGACATGAACAAACACAAGCAAGTGGAAGAGGCATACAGTGCATACTACCCTGAGGTGAAGACATTTGAATATTCAAGTATTATGTCTGATTATTTGTATAACAGGAAAGGGTTGCCGAAGGGAGGAGGAAGAAGAAGAAGCAAGCATGATGGCCACAACCTTTCCAGTGATCATAAGTGCCCAAATAGGGATGACCAAATGAGCAACGTGTTGGACACACAGGTGAATGACACAAGCGTATTTGACATTTCCCCCATGACACACAAATACAAGTACGCATCGAACATCATACTAACGATTAACAAAATAAAAAATATCGAGCGTGTGATAGAAATTAATTTGAATATTAAAGACGTGGAATTGAAAGTTCCAGGTATGCGTATTGAAAATGTGATCATGCCATATAAATATGGTAGTGATTTGTTAACCATAAAAATAAAAACTTTGAGTGAAGGAAATGGGGGCGTGGCGACAGGTCATAAGGTTATGTGTAGAGGGGATGGGATAGATGGCTACCAAAGTAGGGAACACAAAATGAAAGGACAAGACACAAATGAAAAAAATATTACCATAAAATCGTACTTTGTTTTTATCCCACTGAACCTCATTAAGGATGGAGTTGTAAATAAAAGACTCATCTTAATCAGCTCAAAAAGGAATGAAGAATTTGAAAAGGAAGGATTACTGCCTGATACTCTTTACATGATAGAATCTCAGAAGCTAAATTGTGAAAAGGAAAAACATATGTACATTTCAATCAAAATTTGCAAAAATGGAATTCATTTTTTCCCTTGTGTGAATCCCCATCAGGGGCACACTCTTCATACAAATTACACAACGAATGGAGGCCTCAACAGGAAGCCATTCGAACCTGTATACGTATGTTTATATAACGATGAAGTGGATAGAGCTATTGGGAATATATTGAATGGAAGGGGGTTGGCAAACAAAGTAAGAATAAACAAGTTAGCTGCAACAGGACATTACATGCTTAACAATTTACCCTTTCAGTTTTATTTTAATAATTCTAATGTACTCCTTTGTACTCATGGGGATATTAAGGAGGAGGCGGAAAATGTATTTAATCGTATTGGCAAAGAGTATATTCGCGTAGAAAGCTTCATTGACCTTTTTCCAACACACATATTCCCCCCGTTGGAGGACGTCCTACATTTGGACTTGATTGAAAAGAATGAATTGTTACAATTAAAATTTGTTCTTCATTTCTTAGCCATCACTGAGATTATATGTATGCATTTGTGTTCCCTCTTGAATTTCCACGTGGATATACAACCTCTCTTTCGGGACCACGTGAATGCAGTTAAAATGGATGATGGAACGGGGCAGGAGAACCGCTTCACATTCCTGTATACCTCTTACGAAGAGGATGCAGAACCCAAAGGCTATTTTCTAAACTACACCAAGCCGTTCATCTTCCGCTTCCATTGCGATGACAACGATCTCTTCATCATGGACTACGCACGCAAACAGGCCATATTTTTACATAACGTGATAAAGAACCATGGAGACATAAAAACCATTCCTATGTCATATGATAAAACGAAAAGTCTTTTTTTCACGAAAGACAGTAGGAAGAAGCAATTTCAAATTTATTACATGGACATTTTGAGGAGGTACAACTTTGTACTTAACAGGGGAGACAACCTTTTCAGAATTCCCAACACGAGGGACTACTCTACACCTAAAATAAGTGCACCAGTGAAACGGCAAGGTGCTGCTAATAACAATGCATCGGTTTGTACAAATGGGGTGGAGGAAGAAAAAAATGGAAGACACTTTGATGATACAATAATTGGCGCCTTACAAGGGAAACTCCTGCCAAAAAGTGAAAACGCATATAGGAGACATGTTACCACGACGGGTCAGGCAAAAATAGCTGAAGAGAGAAACTTCGTGGGGGGTAATATAACGTCAGGGGAGGAACAGAAATTTCCCATAAGAGAAGAACAAATTACTCCCCACGATAAAATTACTAACGAGAAGACGTCATTTTACAATCTAAGAGAATACAAGAATTATCATTTCCACGAGAAAAAAGGTGGTCAAATAGAATATAAAAATGGTAACTCATTTGAAGATTTCGACCGAGGGAGGGATAGGTATGAAGAGATAAGTACAAATGGATGGTATATGAATGGGAAGGAGAAGGAAGAATCCTCCGCTGGGGAACTACCTCATCCACAGGATGATGAAATTTCTTATTATAACATGCATAAGGAGGATGTCCCGTTCAGCCTGGAAAGTGTCAAGTGGGATTTTAATGACGACCATGTATACCCAGGTCAGCATCCTGTCTATGCAGGTTGTTCAAATGGATACGGCCACAGGGAGGGTGTCACGCCCAATGCGGAGGCCACACCTGGGGGAGGTGTAGGGGAGGACAGGCAAACGGTCTCCATTGCGGACGTTAGCTACGGAAGAGGATACAACGAAGGGTGCAGAGAAAAGTACGCCGATCGGTGTGCCTTGACACGTGATGCGCGCCTATCGGGCACTACGGACCAGGACTGGGTCGCTTCAAAGCTCTCCACATGTAAAGTGTACACCGATCACACGGACCACGCACCCAAGCATTGCAAGCTGGTTAGGCGAAGTGATAATGAGGCGTAGACAAGAGGGGACTATACCTCGGGGATCGCGATTACGTTTTTGTTTTTGCGGAAAGGGGGGGTGAGGTGTTTCCCCAGGCTTACACCATTTGGGGAGAAATCAGTCAAATAGCTATTTCAACAAAAAAAAAAAAAAATAAATAAATAAAATAATCATTAAAATGGCACATTCGCGCGTTAAACATTACAAAGTAGAAAAGGAAAAATGTCCAGTGGTAAAAAAAAAAAAAAAAAAAAAAAAACATCAAGTGGGCATTTCTCAGGAGGACACCCATCTGATGAGCAGATTGTCATGCACAAGGTGTATTACCTCAGGAGAGAAATGCTCCTCTCATTGTGGACACTGAGCAAGCCCTGTTTCTCTTCTCACACGCTGCCTCAATAGGGCAGACACAAGAATGCACGTGTGCCTCCCCCGTTTGTGCTTCCTGTCACCGTGTGTGGCATTTTTGCATTATTTATCTGTACTGCCCTTTTTTTTTTTTGTTTATTCTTCTAACTGGTAATGTGCCCATGTGGCTAAGCGCCACGGGGGTTCTGTGTGGAAGCGCATCAAATCGTCCTTGTCCCACCCCCACCCGCACACATTAGCAGAGTGAGCTGACGGGGACTACACCTCCTCGTCCTTGTCCAAGTACAAGTACGTGTATATATAAAGATAAAAAAAAATCATATGAATTAAAATGAGGCATATTAACAACTTGATTAAACTCCTTTTATGTTTCTTCGATATAGATCGTCTCCACTGATTTATTTTTTCCCAGGTGAGGCGCAGCCCTCGCCAGATGCTGGTCCCCGTTCCTTCATTCCCATGGTGCGCACTTTCTTCTGCTCCGTTGGTTCTGGACAGAGGGGAAAATATATAAAGCGTTCGCGCAACGTGAAGTGAACAAGCCGTGCTTGCACCGACGTCTGAACCTCCATTTGCGTATAGCATTTTTCCTGATCCCCTTACCCCTGGGCCAAGTGCACATACAGGGTAAAATCCCGGTTGATGCGGAAGAACGGCTTGGCGAAAAAGAGAAAGTGCACTGGATCCTCGGTGTCGAAGTAAATCTGGTGATTCTCGCACTCCACATTGATGAAGCAATTTTCTCTCAGATTGGTGGCTTAGAAAAAAAAAAAAAAAAAAAAAAAAAAGGCAGTGACGCGGTGGAAGGTATTGAAGGGAAACATATATAAATGTCCATTTGATGCTGGTGACATGCAGAAGCTGAGGCGCAGTCGTCCGACCGCCTCCACATTTTACATACTTCTAGGAGACATCTAACGTGCTGTTCTATGTGCTCATCCAGGGTTGCCTTAATTTTTCCACGTTGATAAATCAACCGATTGGTCATTCCCCTGTGCACGTCTCCGCCTTACTGTTAAGCAGGTTGTATCCTGCCTTCAGATTTTTCTTGGAACTACAGCCGTATTCACAAAAATGAAATTCCTCTTGGCAGTAGTATCGCCAGGAGCACGAAAGGTTATTCACCTCGCTCGAGTCATTTTTCTCTTCAAGGAAAGCTACATATATCATTTGGTAACATGTGCACCTTACAAAAAGGTGGAGCAGAATGATTAGGGTTCCCAGACATACATGGTTCATGTTTTTACGCACAACACACACGTCATAAGGAGCGGCTCGAAGTATTTCCTACGCTGTGCCTAGGGGTCATCACCATGAAGCAAGTCTTGTATCGACTAATTCGTAGCTTAGACAGACCCGAATATGGGCGCAATTTAGTGCCAAATTGTTGCGCCAATGATTTGTGTAAATTTTTTTTTATATATATCAAGAGAGGACAGTAAACAAAAAGGGAGAGACGTAGGCATTTGGGCGACAAAAAAAAAAAAAAAAAAGGACTTTACATTTTCTGTTGAAGAGGTTTATACGATTCATTATGTTTTCCTGTTTTTTATTTTATTTTTTTTCTAACAAGATAGGGAACCTTTGTTTTGTGTTAATTTATTTATTTTATTTCTTCCTATCAGTAGTGGGGAATAGCAAAATGGACATTTGCCGGTCAGGTATATTTATATGCGGCTTTTTTCCGCACCGTTTTTCTGCAGCGCTTTTTCCGGCCGTTCTTTTGGCCTTAATGCACCGCTCTTAAGGGAAGTGGGGAGATTACAAGGATCCCTCCGCAGTGTTACAAAGCTTGGCGCCTGTTGCGCGCGTGCTAGGTTTTTTGTGCCAACCGGATTTTGTATGCTGCCCATGACGAGGCACGCACCGTTGATTTTGTATGTATATGCATGTATGTTATGCGTGTAATCATGCCTTGCGCGCTGTTCCCTCTTGCGTTCGCGGGAGTTTAGTTTAGTTATACAAGTTAAATTTGCGTGTTCGATGTGAGCGGCAGGAAAATTATCCATTTCGAACATTTTTTTTTTTTCCGCCAGCGCGGGTTGATTTCCACTAGGTTCATTCCTGTGCCCAATTTCATGCCCCCCCTCCAGCAACCACTGCTTCGACCACTGTTGCGAGATCATTGCTGCTTACCGCGGGGGAAACAATGAAAGGAGAATAATTCATCCTAAGAAGCGCCATTGGAACACAAGTTTTGCGCACGGGGGAAGAGGCAACAAAAAAAGAGGAAATACCACGCTTGTGCGTAAGGTTTTATAAAAGTTAAGGGATACCCACGCGGGTGTGAATTGTATGCTATATATATATATAACTGCTTCCTCGTGACCATCAGGCGAGAGGCACCAACTGGCCAGTAAGGGACACGCCCATTACGATTTCTTTGTCGGTCAGTTTTTAACTTGCCCAGCCCAGCGACGCGTTGAAAAATGGCGGATGAGGACGTAGCGGATGGGAAGCCAGCGGATGGCGACATACCGCATGGGAACCCTGCGGATGGCTGCGGGGGTGCGGTGAACGGCGAAGAAGGGGAACATGGGGTGAGTGCGCCCAATGCAAAGCAACCGGAGAATGACACAGCTGTTGGGAAGCCGGACAAGGAAAGCAAAGCCTCATTTGATATTTTCTCCTACCTACATAAGGTGTATGCAAAGTACGGGCTATACGAAGAGGACATGGATAGGTTCCTCCTCTACGTCAAAAGAAGGAGAGCCAAGTTAAAAGCAAAAACTTTATATAAAATGAAAAAAGTGGGAAATAAATACATAACGAGATTGTATGAAACGGATAATGTGGATGGAAAATACCTTGAGTTGTTGCTCCTTGATGTAGAGGCATGTCGATGTAGGTACATAAAAATAAAAACTGATGTGAATAATTTAAAAGTACCATATAGGTCTACTTATTGTTACTTGAGGAGAGTGAAGAGAGCTATGGATAAGGTGAAATTTATGAATCACTCCGTGGAGTCCTCTGTGGATAAAAACACCGAGTTACAAATAAAGTGCTACAGCGCGTATGTCCAAGCAGCGTACCTGTTGGAGGGGAAGAAATATGAGGAGGCCGTCTCAAAGGTGAGGGAGTTCACCAAACTGGTCAAGCTGGTCAAAAGGGCTATGCTCAATGAGATCGTCCAGGGGACGACGCGATCAATCGGGGAAGGAAAAAAAGACCACGCAGGAGGAGAACACGGGGACGACTGCGGAGAAGCGCAGGGAGGTGAGTCACCCGAAGAGCGGAAACACAGTCGCGCCAGCCAACATATCCAAAACGACCTCACGGAACAAAATACCTTCATGAACACCAAAGGAAACCTCCTCATAGAAGCCGAAAGACGAATCGACGAGACATTCGACTACTTCCTCTCCGTCATTCTCTCATTTGAACGCATTTGCTTATATAATTTGAGGAAAAACAAATTAAGCAATTTTGATGAGAAGCTACATGACGACGAGTTACACATAGGAGAGAGCAGCAAAAAATCATCCATTAAGGAAATTACCGACATGAATAAAGACATATCAACATATAAAAAACTTGAAATTTTTATGACCGAAAATACAGTACAAATAAAAATTGAGCATAGTACTTATGAACTGAATGGGCATGGAGACTCCAATCAGAGAGACTACTCCAGTTTGCTCAAAATAAAAAATGCCCTCGATAACATTAAAAATGTTATTCCAATGGAAGAAATAGAAAAATTATATGAAGATACCAATTTGAGAGAAATTATGTTGTGTGTGAACAAAGAAGATTTTCCACTTTTTAAATTTTTAAATTCATATCAAGCAAATTTTATTGTTAATAATTATGGACAGGCAATTGCAAAGTACTACGAATGCTTAACAATAATACATGAACAGTTAATAAAATCAACGGGCGGAAATAAGAAGAAGGCATCCGGGAATGGAAACAAACAACGTGGAGGAAGCCTACTAGATGAAGATGATAAAATGATGGAAAAGATTTGGAACCACATGGAACAATATCTCTCTTGTGAAAAATTATATGCAGACACAGAACGAACTCTTCTTGTGCTAATGAAATTTTTATTTTCCATATACTCAGCTAGCCATTTGAAAAAATTTTCGCTTGGAAATAAAAAAAATTTTGGAGACATCATTGAAGAAATGCCCATGCTGCACACAGGAATTCGATATGCCGATATTTTAAAGCAGAATATTGATGAATTGAATAAATTAAAAAATAATGATGAAATTTTTATTAACATTTTACAGATAATTAAAAATGTCAAGTCTTTTTGTCTCGCTTGTCATTATGCAATGGTTGGGAAAAATGCAGAGGCCCACGTCCTCTTTGATTTAGTTAAAACGAGAAATTATGTGTTTACAAAATTGCAACAAATTAAAATGATACACAATGAAGCTTTGTTACGAATTACAATTTTCTTTAATCGACTACAGGATGTCATTTCGCTGGTCAATGAGATATATTACTTCCGCCATTTGTCCATATACGCGTTGCAGGTGAAAACCAAATGCGTGCCATCCGATCAGAAATTATTTTCTGTGGACAATTCCTTTTTTGAACAAAAAATGACACAAATGTGCATGGACCCTCTGCGTATCGACATGATGCAGTTGTGTCGCGACTCCGTTTTGCTCAACCCAGACGCACACAAGGAGGAAGAAAAGGCCTCCGGGATTAGGGGCCTCCTTCGCTCCTTCTGGAAATAAGTACCAAGGGCTTCGCGGTGGAAAACGTATTCCCATCTTATGTGCGAATATGATGTTTTGTCTTCTCTACGTATTGACATGCATTTTTCGCCCTCTCCTTTTTTCTTCCCAGTTGCATACCTCTACCCTGCATTGACTTTTTCCCGTGTTTTTCTACTTCATCCATCTTTCCTTCCTTTCGAACGGAAGGGCCATTTCCAGGGGAGTACACTTCTCCCCCGCTTAGACACATCACCGCATCGAGGATGCAAAAAAAGAGTAAAAAAAAAGAAAAAACTTTACCTGGAAAAAGGTACCCAGTTGTATAATCGACCTTAGGGGACACACCTGTTACCTTCTTAATCGGCTCGCGTAAAGGCTACGCGCGAAATTTGCCCCGTGCCGACTGACTACCTAATAATTACATTTTTTATGGACCAGGCGGGATAAATTCAGTTCTTTAGAAGAGGTATTCATAATTTGTTTTTTTAAAAAGAGGAAAAAATTAAAAAGTGTTCGTCAAGCTGGTTATGCGGGTAGTATAAGTCATGCGTCCACTTTACATTTATACACGTGGGAAATTTAAACAGATAAAACACAGATGTGCAGGAGGCGTGATCCATAATATATAGGTGCACAGTTAAAAATGGGCAAGTATTAAAAAGAGGGCTCAGGAGAGCTCGTGGAAAGAGGCAAAAAAAAAAAGTACTTCACGTGAGAAAAGGCATGTGGTATGCACATACACACAAAGAGTATGTAACACACCTACACGCTCATACACCTAGTTTGGATCTACTTCTGATCTGCTAAACCGCTTGACTGGTTAACCATCTAACCGCTCAACTCCATGATTGACTCGACCAAATCGTTGTTATTCTTCTTCAGCACTTCTATTGCTCTTTCACGCGTGCATTTCGTTTGTGACATAATTAACTCAATGTCGTCCATCGAAACGTCCGCTGGTTTTCCTGAAAATGGGGGGTGGGCGCAAGATGTGAGCATGGGGTACAAAAGCGCGTGCCCATATGGCAGCGTACATCGCAGCAAATGCATATCGTTTTGTTTTTTGGGACGCACAAAAATGTTTGTACGCATAGAGACAAACTAGAGAGTGGGTTAAGACATTTGCTTACCTTCGTCTAAGTCCTGAACTTTTTCGTTTGCTTTTTCGGGGGCCTCGAAATTTACCTCCTGCTCGTCCATCATGTCACCGTCCTTCTGGAGGCTATCTGGTAGGAGACCTGTTGGGGGGGGAAGAAAAAAAAAAATAAAATAATACTAAAATATATAAGTAACGGATGAAGAAGGGGTAACTATACAGTATATATCCGTCTCTCTACACCTCCCACGTACGCACGTTGTGCAATTTGTCCTACTCCCCAGATGAGGCGACGGACAACACAAGCGGCATCCCCCATCGTGACCATACTGTTGAGTGCACACGAGGTAGGAGCGAACAAGTGGGGCAATAAACACGTACGCACGTTTACAAAAAAAAAAAAAAAAGAACAAAAGTGTATACACATGTATATGCTTATAATATGCTCGCGTATTACTGTTGATCGAGTTGGTGATGTCATCCGTCTTGGCGTCTCCAAAAATGACGTACGATTCAGTGCCGTCGACTTTGTACACCTCCACATTGGATACGGCAAAAATCATTTTTTGTGACTTTTTTATAATGACTTTGTGCACATTAGGGATTGCCTTTAAGCCAAGTTTGACGAGCATTTTCCTGGCTCTTCTTTCCCCCTTGCTCATCTTTGTCCTGTTTGGTGGATTTAAAATATTTTTATTTTCGTCATTTTCTTCAAAGGAGGAGCTCGATGAAATTTCATCTTTGGAGTTTACTCTATCGTCATGCATTTTGAATTCGTATAAATTTCCTTCTATGTTATGTGTATTGCCTCGCGATGGCGACAGTTGGGTGCGTAGCTTGGGGAGGGCAGGTTATATAGTATAACAGGGCGTCAAGCCTGCAGTACAGAAATTCGTTTTTATATGTTCCTATACTTATTCGAACACTGTGCTTATATTTAACTAGCTACCCAAACTATTCTTGACTTGGAGGAACGGTACGAAATGTCAGCGCTGTGTTTTTAATAATCCTTTAGCTATTGGGGGGGAGGGGGACAAACAATATAAAACAGGTAAAATTCAAAAAAAGGGCCTAAACACAAAAGGTATGCAACAATGATATACACAAGGGTATAACAGCAGGTATGCAAATGCTATATATATATACTAATGCTGGTACAAAATATTTATACACGAATTGGTACATGCAGTGTGATTTCCTTTGCTACATAAAATTAATTATTTTTGCAAGGGTTGTTGTAGGGGCGAGGAACAGTTTTTACCAAATGTAGAAAAAAGTAAACAAAGAACAAGCGGTAGCGGAGTACTCAAATTCTCAAAAGTAAAAAAAAAGGCTGTGGTTCGTTCAAGCCGATCACTGTATTTTGAAGGTACGGATGGATTCACGGAGGAGAGAGATGCGTTGGAAAAGTAACCTACATACTTTACGTACGTATAATATGTACACGCATAACCATGGTTACGGCTGTGTTTTATTTATATGTATGTATACATAACATCCATGCTGCTGCATTGTTGGTTCCTTTGGGTTTTTAATTTCTTAAAATGCTTAAAGATGACACTATTAAATTATTTCCCCCTGTGGCTTTTTTTTTAATTCCGAGCGCACTGCTTAAATGGCTGGGGAGGCAACAAAAAAAAAAAAAAAAAAAAAGGGGTACGCAAAACGCGTATTGGCCTGCAATCACGCTGGAACGGATTCTCGTGGACATCGCACTGGAAATATATTTGCAGTGCAGAGCGAACGTGGTGGAAGAGTTTTTATTAGCATGCTGATTATCGCTCAGGCCTGCGTTTAAAAGGGCGCGTTTACATACACGCCAGTGTAGTGCACGAGTTGGTGAATACATATTTTACTAAAAAAAAAAACGCCGCCCGTGTTCGACCCACGTCACCTCAACCTGCAGCTACATTTTTTGCAGTTCTCAAAAGGTACAAATTATATTGCAAAGATAATTGCAACACGTACCCATGCGTATGTATATGCGAGTGGGGCAACTGTTTTTTACAAGTCATTTTACGAAAACATTGCAGCCACTTTTTTTTTTTGCGTATGCCTTTTATAGGAGAAAAAAAAAGAATCCAGAGGGGCGGTGCAGCTGCTTGTACCCAATTTAGCAACTATGCGTACAAATGTGGAAAGCTGTAACAAATAAAATAAAAATTGTATTTTTAACCCTCTAGCAGGATTATAAATCCGCACGAGAACGAAGCAGGGAATAATGTATTGCCAGGAAAGGTTTCAAAGTGTCGAATATGTCAACAGTGTAGGGTAAATTCCCACGTTCAACTTATTGCATTACGTACGTACGTGTATGTTATATGTGTGTATATTCTACGTATACATATGTACAGCACATTTATACGCACAAAATATTTATGTGATGCGTCCCCCTGTCGTTGTTGCAACATTGCCATATATATTTTTTTTTAATAACTGGCCAATTTCTACATGAAAAAGTAAGGTGATTTTTTTATTTATAACACAAGTGTTATTCTGCCTAGTATGTAAATTTTTTGTTGGCGGGTCACATTTCAGTCGTCCCTTTTCTGCATAATGTTTATGTGGTAGTATCCTACCTGTATTGTTCCTTTTTGTTCTCCCATATTAATGATGAACGAATTGGAAAAAAGGAAACAAATTGGAGATCCCATATTAAGGGTTATGCATATTTTTCAAACGGACCGAAATGGCATACACGTTTATGCCAATATGTGGAGGAATTTTTGCACATTTTATTTTTGCCTGAACAGCATGTAAAAAAAAAAAAAAAAAAAAAAAAAATTCATTTTAGCTAGTCGTTCAGCCTATCACCAGAATCAATTTTGGCCAACGCCATCCTACTTCGTATTTCGTGACAGGCCCTACTTCGCCTAGCATAAGTAACACATAAATTCGGCGCCAATCGATTGCCTCTCCAAAAAATGTAACTCTCGAAAGTGACACTTTTCCTTTTATTTGCAATATTACCACTTGCAGTTTCTACCACATTGCGGTTTTTGTGTAGAGGGTGTGTTTTTATATTTCAAAACGAACACTTTTAAAGCTTAAAAAAAATTTGCGTCTTTGTCTTCCAAAAAGAAGTCAACGAACAAAATGTTACATCATTATCGTTCATCTGGCTCACTGGCATCCTACCACGTGAAGGTAGGAATGTACGAAAGAGTAGGCCCAGCCGAGTGCAGTGACCATCATGCACATTTCACGTGTGCAGGTGTGCATGTCCCCCGACCCAAAAAAAAAAAAAAAAAAAAAAAAAAAAAAAAAAGTTGCATACGTCTACGCCAGCTACATGTTGGCATACTGCAAATTATCCCAGAAGTTTTTTTCTTCCAGTTTTTTCTCATCATCGGGCAACTCTTTCAAATCTTTTTTTATCTTCTTCACAATACTGAATATGTAGCAGATGACGTTTTTGTCCTTTACGCTGTTGTACAGGTCTCGAAAATTGATTGCGTGCACAGTCCAGCCTGCGAGGTCAAGGGGCGAAACAAAAATGGAAAAGGAAACCGAATGAGTCGCACACGCAACAGCACAAAAGCAGCGCAATGGTAAAATTTGAGTGTAGGTGTAACAAAAAAAACAAAAAAAAAACACCTCAAAGCGCTAGAGTGTGCTGTTTTATTTATGTGTCAAGTGCCAAAAGGAGGCATCCCGACATTACCCTTCAAGGCCAGTTGCTTCTGACGGAGCTCCGCGGAGAGTAGTGGTCTGTGCGATGGGTACAAGACATCCTAAGAAGGTGAACGTAGGGAAAATAAAAAAAATAAAAAAATCAGGAAAAATTACAAAAAATGGCAAAGGGACACATTAGGAGAAAGTTACACTTTACACTGATACTTTCCCCACATATGAGCATCCCCCAAAGAGCCCTGACATTCCTATACATGATAAGAAAAAACGTCGCATTGTGCTCACAATGACAGGGCGTCTTCCCTCATTCTCGTTTACCTCATATGACATTAAATCAATTAAATGCCTTTCGTATGGAAAGGAACAGCAGACTTTGTAAATGTTTTCATGTGTGTAGGATCCCTTGTACTGTACGTTCAGCTGTGAGGAGGGGTGTAAATGGGTATGCGTGTGGCACGAGCGGAAAGGACGGGACAATGAATACACACGGAGTGGACATATACACACGCTCAGCAACACGGGCTCAGGGGAAGTCCAACAACGGGGCACTTACAAAATTGAGAATGTCACATATGACATGGTCAAAGTGGAACATCTTGATCTTCTTCCTCTCCTCCCGGGACGAGGCAGAGTTGGCATTTCTGATGCTTACATCATCCATGTTATAATTTAAGACGTGGTAAAAAAATTTGGCAATTTTCAAATTGTTGTCAAACGATTTAGCTATTTTGTGATTTTGTGGAGCAGGTGCGCTGGCCTGTCCTGTGTGCTCGATCCTGTGTACAAACACGTTTCTGTCCCTTTCCTCATCAGTTATATTAACGTTAACAGGCGATGCCTCGTAGTCCAGGTCCAGGTAAATGTTATTTTCATTTATGTACACATTTGGAGCCACTTTATTCCACACATACTTGGCCTCCTTATCTCTGGAGAAAAAATTCACAAAATTGTAGACATGGTAACATACTTGTTTTGCGAGAATGACAAACTCATGTGTGTATATCTCGTCAGAGTAGCTGCAAATTTCACTCAGCAGAGGATACAAGTAATGATATGTATTTATAAGAATATTGACGTAGGCCAATTTTAGAAGAAGTAAGGAGGCCTCTTCGCCACCCTTCTGGAGGTAGGAGCGTAATTTGTCATTTTCTTCGTAAAACAAATTGAAGGACGTTTTTGTGCTGTGATGTTGGGGGGTACTCAGAGATTGGTTCATCGATGAGGGGTCACATTCGTCTTGTTCATCTTGACGTATGGTTAACGGGTTCTGTAGTGATCCCCATCCGTCGCAGCTCTTCTCCAGATCACTTGCATACCTGTGGTGCATATATTCCTGCGACAGTTTACGTACCAGATTCATCTTATTATTTGTGAGCGCCAAAATGTACACGAAATTGATTAGCATGAAGGAGGAGATGGGCCTTTTCTCTTGCACAATCATGTGTTCCACTAAGTCGTATAACTTAAGTATGTTATCGTCTTCGTAGTGTATATTGAAACAGGCATAGCAGAGGGCAATGCAGCTGTTGAGATCAACCACCGTGCTGGGGTTACGCGATATGTAGCCGGTTGGCATACTTGCCATTGTTGAGGTCATTCCGTTTTCAGCTTCCCCCGCTTGTACAATTGAGTCATCTCCTAAACTGGGCACAGTATCCACATCGATTGACCCACACCTCATGGTAAGTAAGGGGCGCTGCTCGGGGGCGTCACTACCGTCTACCCTGTTCAGGGGAGAATCAAACGATTCTCCCTCCTCTTCCTGTTCGTAGCTATTCAATATACCACTCGTTATGGAGTTGATTTTTTTTTTGAAGAGGGAAATGAGCTTGGGTCTCCTGGACATGTGTGTGAGAGCCACAAACTTCATATACCTACTGGCCGTAATGTTGCTTAAAAAGATTAGGAATTCCATATTCGTACTCTTAGACAGGATGGGAATAATTTGCCGCATTATCATATTTAAAATTACATCATCGTGCATGCGTTTATCCCTCATGATGATTAACAAGTTGTTAACGTCTTTAATGCTGAGCTGCCAAAAGTTATGCAAACGCAATTTTATTTGTTCGTATAGGAGGTCATTAATATGTGGGAGGTACACTTCTTCCTCATTGTTGCTCATAAGGGAAGGAGGCAACTCGGTCAAATTTACATTATCATCAAATATGTCTATGTAGTGATTTGATGAGGACATTTCTCCTGCTGAGTGGGAAATAGAAGAGGAGGGACCCAACATTGGTGACGACAACTCTGTTGCTGTACTCCCTGGTGGGGGCGAGGCACAAACAAGATATCCTTGCTGGGTATATTTGGCCAAATCATTAATAATGAGCATGATATTGACGCAGTCCTCTCCACATAGTAACTTATATTTCTTCTTAACATTCTGCAGGATGTGTGCAATTAAGCGAAAGACATCCACATGGTGTACATTCAGATAACACACATTTTTGAGTGCATACAAAATGAGAACCAAATTTTCTAAATAAAGCAAATGTCTAATTTGATAAATCTGCTGAACAAGGAGGTAATAAAATTTATGGTCATATATTTCGAGGAAGGATGAATGGTACATCACATTGGTAATTTGTAAAGGAGAAAAGGCATACAAATTTTTCACCACTTTATTCTTCAAAAAGGAAAAAAGATGTTTGTATTTATAACTGAACTGTATTCTACTGAGGCAGGTCAAAATTGAAACAATATCTTTTGTGGTAATTTGTTTCACATTTTCATTAAGCTTTGTAAGTATACTAATGTAGAGATCCGGTTTGTGTGCGTTTACATAAGTATAGGACCACAAGATGATACACAGATTCTTCACACTCATGTGGTGTAAGTACACATTAATAGCATTGTAAAAAATATCCATGTAGAGGTACTCATCATATTCGTTTAATTTTGTTAATGAGTAAACTATGTTTACCAAATCAAGGTGATCAGCTTTGTGTATATCTCTCTCCACAATTTTTTTTAACTTCTTCACCAACTTGGAAGTATAATTAATATGACTAAAGGCCCATAAAATATTGCTCACATTTCTCATGTTCAGCTGGTCCACGTTTTCTTCAATCCGCTTGGACAATTCATAGTAGGTGTTCACATCTTTGTATTTCAATTTTGAAAGAGAAGTCAATAACGATATTACATCGTTCAAGTGCAGACTTGTGGATGTCACTAACATGTGTGACTTCACCATGTCGATAACCTTCATTTTGAAAATACGACTCTCGTTTGTCTCCACCAGGATATTACTAAGGGTATACAAAATACTGCACACGTGCTTCGGTTCAGCATCCTTCAATTTCACACTCATGTAATTTATTACGTCGTTGAAAAAGTATGGAAAATGCTCTATCTTCACAAAGGCATAGAATATTTGTGCCAAATTCGATATGTCAAAACGCCCCAACTTGTCATTTATCCTTTTCATCACATTAAGGTACATGTAGTTCTTCGTGATGCTCCCCCTCTGATAGGAGTCCATTAACTTGGACATTTTCATAATCGCGCTGCTGAGGTTTATGTTGTCGCAGGTGTTCAGGTTATTGTACAGGACGGTCAGTATCCCCATGGCTGTTTTCTCCTTTTTGATTTCCCTTTGAATTATCAGATTGTCTATATTACCGTCAATGATGGTGCTTAGGCTGTGTCCGCTCAGCTGCTGCACATTATCTGCAGGGGTCACTTCGACAATGCTTTCGCTGCGGTGGGGTTGCTTCTCCACTTGGTTGCCACGTTGACCTATACATGCGTCTTCTGTCTGTTGGTTGTCCACCATTTGGTAGCCGCTCCCTTTCGTTATCTCCCCAATGCACCTCCTCGCCGTGATGTCTTCCACCTCATTCACAAAAAGGGAGTCCTTCGCAGAAGCCGCTGAATCCGCCTCGCCCTTCTCCTCCAAGTCGTCCACCAAAAATTCACTGACCATCTTCTTCCTCCTCAGTTCAGCGTAGCGCACGTTCAGGTCACAAGAAAGGGCGCTCTCCGTCAGATCCTCATGTATCAGTTTGTTTATATTCAACTCGTTCGTGTCCTCCTTAACCGCTTCCTCTTCTTGGGCAACAATGTTGTGGTCCCCTTTGTCCGTCGCACCGCTCCCTTTCACTTCTCCCCTGTGCAGGGGTGACTCGGTGTAAATTTCGTCATACGACTTTATTTCATTTGTGTACGTCTCATCACCTGACAAGAACTGGTCGATGTCATCATGTGGAGAGGAAACTTTGTCGGACACAGCACCTCTACGCTGGCCCTTATTATGCCCCGCGCTACTTGCACCATCCCGAGCAGAGTTCATATACTGGTCCTCTTTCTTAACCTTCTGATACTCTCTGTCCATTTTGTAATCCAGCTCCTTTTGATAATTCTTCATTTTCTTTTTGTTCCTTAAGTAATCTTCCTTCTCCTTCAAAATTTCCCACAGACTTTTTTCCTCATCTTGCAATGGTAAGGCAGTTTGTCCAAAGCGTAAACTTTTCTTCGTCTTAGACCCTCCCTTTGCTAATCCCTTTTGCTCGTTGTACCTTTTAACAAGCTTATTGTATTTGTCATTGCAGGGGAGAAAATCTGAATCAGCTTCTGCATCCCTTTGTTTGAATATTCTCACAGTGCTATGCTCCTGCTGGGAGCAATCATCCTCATCAATTTTTTGAAGGAAGTCTTTCTGCTTTCTCACGTGTACGGACTCGGACGCGACATCTGCCGTCGCATCTGACGTCGCATCGTGACGGTCTTTGTGCGCGTCGTAAAGAGCTGTGCTGTGCCCATTTGTTCCATCTACACTGAACTTGTCTCCCTCATTCTGCTTCTCCTTTGGGGGACAGTTCCCCTCTTCGTAGCTCACCAGTCGATCTACATACTTTTTGCCCCCCAAAGTGGACAAGTTACCCCTCCTGTGCACTCCGCCCCTCCACGTTCGCGTCAACAGTGTACAGCGGATGAGGTTGTCCGCGATGAAGTTTCTCATACTGTGGTGGGATGCGTCCACGGGGTGGGTAGCAAACTGTTACAAATGAGGAGGATTATTACAACTTCTTATGTGTGAGGGAAGTTCAGGAAATGTTGTTTTCCCCCTCCACATATTTTCGCATGCACAATTTTTTATTCACTTATCTGGTATACTGCGCATGAGAGCTTTTTTAAAGAAACTCGCGTGATTTTTTGCAACGGTAACGATGTGTAGAGTGCGCAGTTTCACACGCCATTCGATGTGCCCTTGTGCACTCGGTATATGTTCACCCTTTGGTCACTCATCCTGCAGGGTATGCGTTTACTTTCCATGCAGACCGCGATTATGTGGTCACCCCTGGTGTGCGTCTCCCGCTGCTGCTGATGCGTGGTGTTGTTGTTTCCTTGCGCCAAGATATGCTCTTTACCGTAAAAAATACGCTAATGTGCTTCTTCCCTTTCGTGTGTTTGCTTCAGCCGCTTCCGTAGGAAAAGGCGACACATAAAGGACGATCGATTCGCCTCACCAAGCAACTTAAAAAAAAAAAAAAAAATTTTAATCCAAGTGAGGCCAAAACCAGGTTACACCGGATATAGTGTCACTTGCGAAGGCGGAGGCCATGCCTTTTTCCACGGTGCACTTGCCCTTACGCCTGCAGGGCGTGTACATATATATTCTTTCCGCTGCATTGTCAGGAGGGACTTTGTCAACCAGTTGACGCCTCTATTTGTGCACAGTTACGAAGGTTAGGAGGAAAAAAAATGGGAGAAATGTGAAAAATGCCGAACTAATGAAAAGTATGGAGCAAACCTCAAAATAAGTGAACATTGGGTGGGAAGTAAGGCTACCTAATGGGCAAATACCCTGGAGGCGACGATTACATCTATTATGACAGTTTGCCCGAGTGGTTAAGGGGTTGGACTTGAAATCCAATGAGCTTTGCTTGCGCAGGTTCGAATCCTGCAGCTGTCGATTTTTTAAAAAATTATTTTTGCACATATGAAATATTTTAAATAAGTTAATAATTTTTTTTTAACGTATACAAAAAATATGTAATAATTTTTTATTTAAAAAGAACAAAATGCATCTATTTTTTTTTTTTTTTTCAATTTAGCCACTCTGCCAAAGTAAACTTTGTCTCCATCAGTATATTTCGCTTAATTCTTTCGCGTTGTAAAAAAAACACTTCCTTCGCTACCTCCTCTGCCCGCGTAACAGATTCGCGAAGTTACCATTCCGCTGCTAAACGCGGACGCGTAAACATTTTGACGCTCTTTTCCGATTTGGTCGGGAGTGTTTCCCCTTTTTTTTTTTGGACCCCTTGTGAGATGACGTTTTGTCCCCATGCGGCAGATGCACCTTTGGGCAAACATAAAGAAATGTCTACTTGTATATGCGTGAGAAGGGGGCACACATAAAATAGCTAAGTTGTACGTTGAAAAAAAAACAAATTATGGTGGTTTTAAAAAAAAAAAAAAAAATCCTGTTGCCAGTCCAGTGGGGGGGACCTAAACTGATGCCCATTTGTTTTATGGTAAAATGGAATCCTGCCCCTCGACGGGCAAAACCATTTTAAGGTAACAAAGAAACACCTGCTGTTCTTTTTTTTTTTGCCGCGATCTTTTGCGCTACCTCTGAAACACAGCCGTGTTGCGTGACTTGCGCACGGAGGCCCGCTGCACACAGGCAATGGGCGCGGTGGTGATGCACCCGAGTAGGTCCTTGTAGGAAATTTTGTGAAAGTTAAACAAGAGTCGCAGCAAATTTAGCGGTTCTATGATCTCCGTTTCTGTGAACGCCCCTGAGGAAACAATGATTCTGCTAAAGGGGACTACCGAGAACAGGCTACAAATATTTAAAGCTAAGTGATAATAATGGGAGTCTTCACTTCCATGGGTAAGAGAAGAAATTTCAAAAAAAATCCCTTTATCTAGTGCACCCTGTACATCAGATTTTTTCATTTGTGCAAAGGATTTATTCATGTTGAAAAATATTATGTCACAATCAAATTTCATGGCGACACTATTTATTTCATCTAGCGAGCTAACCTCAATGGCAACAATGTCCAAGTGGTTAGTTGTTATAAACTTGCTGTAGTTTTCCATGTTCACTGCGTCTTCATATTTTATATTCAGTCTCTTCAGTACATAGGTGTTTGTACTGTTTGTGAGAATGACACTCTGATGTGTACTGGGTATACAGCTGGTATGCATTATGTGGTTGGCTAATTTGTCCAGGTCTTCCGTCGTCGGCACTTGGTCATCCCCATGCATTATAAAATCATCACATACATTTTTAATGCTGAATGTGTTGGGTCGATTTACTAAAATGTAGTTCCACTCAGGGTTACAACTTATCTGGACCAGTTGTTCACCTAGTTCTTCTTCCTCATCAAGTCGGTCAACAAAATAATTTCCAGAACAGCTCTTTCCATTTGTTTTCTCCAAACCTTTTTTATTACACACTAAACAATTTACTACATTAAAAGATTCAGATAAAATGGCTTTATTCTCTGCCTCATATTGTACACTCACTGCTACCATGCTGAACCCTACGTTAAGCGCCTTGGCTATCTGTGCCTTTGCTTTGCTCACTGATGAAAATTTCAAATTCAGGTCCACATACATTGTATATAAAATAGGTTTTGTGTGTCCACTCTGTGGAGGTGGCGTAGTCGTCTATCACAGGGCAAGAGAATCTCTTTCTACGCCGTCAGCTCCACCTGCACACGGCTGCATTTCTTTCCTCCCTTTGCCCATAATTGGAGGCCTTTCTCACGTGCAAACAAAGTGTAACATGGCAAACCATACACCCTGCACATGATGAGAAGTGCTTCGCCTCACCACTATGCAACCTTTTTCACGTAAAAGAAATATTAATCGAACTCAATTTTTGCATCTTCCCCTTTTTTCCACACTATAAAAGTGAGTCACATACCCGCCCGTTGTATATCTTTGCAAAAAAAAAAAAAAAAAAAAGGGAAAAGTATAAAACCTTAGTAGAAACGTCACACATGGGAACACTACAATATGTAAGAACACCTACTGGTTTTGTATGTCCCCTTCTTCAATGTTACGCGTTATGGATGAGGGGACGGGGCTACTAAATGGTGACTTATTTATATAGTACCATTTCGTTGTCAAGAGGGGGAAATAAAATCACATGCACGACTGCTCGCCGATTACGCCGTGCTGTCCCAAATGACCTCGCATTATATATATTTTTTTTTTTTCCAAATTTGTAGCGTTTGAAAAGGGCTGCCCAGGGTCAGGCAAACATTTCACAGCCAGAAAGCGCCGTCAGCCAGAGTACGGACGCATGCGTGCATGCATATGCACGTGTAGGGCCCAGCACACGGCTAACGCGAAACGGGGGAAGAGGGAACCTCAGCACAAACACAACTTTAAGAAGCAACACAAAGTGGGAAAACAAGGAACAACAAAATTGTCAAAAAAAAAAATTGCAATTGATATCTGACTTACGGGAGACAGGACGGGCGAATAGAATGAACGAAATATTTATTCATTTTATATAGCGTACAAGAAGAAGGACGCAAAAAAAAAAAAAAACAAAGACCTCGTGCTATGAGTCCCCATCTGTGCACATTTGAGGGTACTTTATACACACGTATATTATGACAAAGCGACATGACACAATACGTTGTGCGGGGTTAATGTGCCAACGGCGTAGACGCAAAAGCGACATTTCTCTGACCAGGAGGTGCTGTTCAGAATTTGCACAAAAAGGAGGCAAATCAAACGATAGGAAACGATTGCGTGTTTTTTTCTTTTCCTCATTGGGGGAAAGCCGCAATAGTGCACGAATTTCTGCTGCAATGTCCACGCGACATTCCCTACAACATCACTGTGAACCACAAGAGGCGCACACTTGGCAACAGCTCAGTTCATCACTGTTTCATACGATTCGTCATTCTCATTGGTGTAGTTGAGGGAGGAATTGGTATTGTAGTGGACGAAGCTGTTCGTGGACCCATGCGTATTCGCCATGTGCATTTGCTCGTATTGATCGGCGCTTGGGAGGGGTTCCCCTGCTTCGTCGCCTTGCAAACTCATGCCACGTTTGTTTATCCCACCGGTGTTGTCTCTCTCTCGCGTGGCACGCACAGAAGGGTAGGAGACTCCCCTCTCGTCCTTCACCATGCTGAGTTTGTTAAATAAAGGACTCTGAGGCTGGACATTCCCCTGCAACACGTCGTACATCATAGGCGCAATGAACCCGGTGATGTTGGGGTCTACCCATCCCTCGGGCACTTGCCCAAACACATTTTGAAGAGACGAAATATCATTATTCTGAACTTGTTCAGGTGGCACTAGGTCCAAAAATTGAGGCTTGGCAAGACTTGGCACAGGAATGAACTGATGCACTTCAATAGCATGCAACTTAAAAGAGATAGAATCAAGTTTTCCTCCATCAATTGGGGGTTTGTCAATTTTCCCCAGATATTCTATAGTAGGGTTGACAGGACTCTTCTCCATGAGGTTACTAGATTGGGTGGACTTGGCATCTGTATATTGTCCCATTTGCTTTTTAACCGTATTCAAATCTTTTTCAAAAAATGCTGCAAAGTCTTTAGGCATGGATAGGGGGTAACCAGTCTTGGGGTCGTAGTCTTCCAAATGTTTTTTTTCTTCCACTTGTTTACAGTTGGTAAAATTGCAAAAGGGCCATTTGTTATTTTTTTTTTTCTTTTTGAGTTCCATTTGGGTTAGCGGTTGAGACACCCTTCGCTGTGTTTCTCCTTTGCAATTTTGTGAAGTGAGTCTGGCGACATCCATGAGGGACTTTTTCACCAAGGCGTCCACGTGCATGTTCGATGTGCTCGCGTATGGGCCTCGTTCATAGTCTCCGTTGTAGCCATTATTCTGGAAGGCATGATCTGCAACAAAGCTGTAGCCCTCATTCTTCCTCTTCTCCTTCTTCTCTTCCTCCCCATATACCCCCTCTGCGTTTTCATACCCATCTTTGTAGAAGGAGCTGTTCCTGAGGAGTATCTCGGGGGGGATGTCTGCAGCTCTCTGGTTAGGGTTCACAATCTCAGACATGTTTTGAAAGTGGACCTCCGGGTAAGGGACAATGAGGGGTGGTGGACAATCCAACTCGATGTCTATTTTAGGAACATATTTACAAACAGGGACGTCCTGATATTTTTCCTTCCATTCATATTTTACAATATCAACCTGTTTCTCCACTTCAGTAATTTTTGGAATTATTTTTTCTTTTACATCAACGATAATTTCTTTTTCCACATATTTGTCTATGTATTTAATTTGAGGCACTTCCACTTGAATTACTTTTTGCTCTCCTTGATATTTTGGTATAACCCTAGGTATCTCTCGGACATCCCAAATGGGAGAAAATATAGGGGTATATCCTATGGGCATATCAACTTCCACTGTTTTTTCTTGCATTTTTTCTTGAGGTATATTAACTTTTCTTTCTTTAAATAGTAACTCAACTGTGGGTACATCATGCTTAGTTTCTTGTGTGTAATGTTTTGGCTGTACGACATCTTGGACTTCATATTTCTTCGTTTCAATTATTTTGTCTCTGATATACTTGTCTTGATAAACTGGTATGTTAAATACTGGCTGGTCTCCTTTTACATTTATAACTGGTCTTCCTTCCCCCTGTTCGTACACTTGATGGGGTTCTCCTTCGTAGTACATCTCATCCTGTTCACTCGCCTCATGTTTGCTTTCTGGGGGCGCGTCATTCCTTTCTTTGCAACAGTCGCTAAAAAAAAGCGCGCATTGTTTTCGCTCCATAATGTTCCGTTCTTTCGAAAATTGGGATTCGTCTGTGGGGAAGTGAATTAAGTGTTCATTTTATTGCTGTGCCTTTTTTGTCATCTATAATGGGGGGGGGGGATTGCCCCCAAATTTTGCATGAACAAATGGATACTTACTATGAGTGCTACCTACCTTCTGAGTTAACTTGCAGAAGAGGAAAACGTTCCACAATGTGTTGGGTGCAGTGCAAATAATCTGAGCGCAATAGGGGGGGAAGGCAAACATGTAGACAAGAACTTACACAAATGTGGCACAAAACATGGAGCTTTAAAATTTTTTATGCTTTTTTTTTTTTTTTTTTTTTTTTCCGCTAGATCAAATAAACTCCTCTAAGTTGTTAAGCCGTTCTGTAGCCACTCCTCCATCTGTGTGCACGTTCGTGGGCATCACAATGCACCTGTTCTTAATTCGCTGCAGATACCCAAGGACGTGGGGTGTCTTCTCCTACCTATTAGTAGCTGCTACTCGAGCTCGAATTATTTTACAAAAGAAGGGATATAATTGACAAGAATTACAAATATGCTACATCCGTTGGGCTGCTGAGAAATTGTACGCTTCCCTACAGTGTGCGATTGATTATTAGTGTATCACCACCGGGGGAGGAAAACAATGATGGTTTTTCCTTAAAAATTAAAGACAAAAGTTCGATAAATGTGTAGAAAACAAAAAAAAGTGACAACTTTCGTGTAGAAATTATATTCACGCGATGTTAAAATGTTAAAGTTCATGCATACCGATCCATAACATGAGAAACTCTTTCGCGTCTTGCCATGTCTATATGGCCAAGTAGTTAACTCATGTTTTTATTTCCTTTGTTGCTTGTTTGTTTTTTTTTTTTTTTTTGAACTTCAATTCGACCGTTTTTTGTGTGCACATTTACCTGCACAGGTTTTCTTGTACAGAAAAAAAAAAAATAAAATAAAAGGAAGGTAAAAATGGCGGGGAAAAAGACCTAACAAGACGAGGTACGCAAAGCGGGTAAACCCATGTGAACAACCCGTGAGACGCCAAAAACACCAAGGAAATAAAACTGAGGAACGAGTCTAAGGGACCACCATGTTGTGTACTTACAACTCGCGCATTATTTTCATCACCAAAAAAAAAAAAAAAAAAAGCCACAGCAAGATTAATTTTGTTCCCATTTTGTAAAAAATATATGCATTGCTGAGTAAAGAACGAGCACGCTTTTGTTTTTATCCTTCCTATTAATTCTACAAAAACAGGTACTGTCTAACTCTTCATGCATGATTGCTCTTCCTATGCGGCACATTGTGCATGTTACTATGTCCTTAGTTACACTTACCAATATTGGCAACATTGACTTTGCCTCCTCTGTGAATGTACCATATGAGACATTTTAAAAAAAACAAAAAAAAAAAACTTTACCGTTTGACAACACTTTAACACATGATGGGGCACACATGAGAAGACTACCTGTGGACTGATTTCCATTCGTTATGCGCTCCCATGTACAGTAAATGGCAAAGCGGAGTATTCTGCCGAAAGGTGTCCTCATATGCGTGCAGCCAAATTCAATGATTTCACTAACCAACCTGGAAAATCGCCAAGTTTGGAAATGTTCAAAAAAGAAAAAAATAAATGTCATGGTTGGGAGAAAGGAACATTCCTTCATAGCATAGCAGGACTCAGCTAAAAACTTGCTTAATGGTGGCAAAAAGGAAAAAAAAAAAAAAAATGGCCACACAGTTCTTTTTTTTTGGGGAATACCCCACGTTCTACTGCTCCAAGAAGGTATTTTAACAGGCATGCTCGAATTCTTTTTTTTTTTATTTTTAATGTAGACTTAAGTTTGGTAC